ATATACAATTAATTGTATAAAGTAATTACAAACTGAAGTACACAGCAGATGCTTATATGTGATTACCGTGATTATGATGAAGCTCGAGGATTTTAATCAGCCATCAAAAACATCGATCTGATTTTGACCCAGGTCGGCATGACACACAAGCAGCCCTGTGATATATAGGGCAATTAGATTCCACACAGGCGTTCCCGGAAACGCATGCATTTCCAGGAAAGGCCATACCGACAAGATAGTATCGACATATTATATTAGCAATCAAACGCAGTGTACCATTCCGCCATAATATATCCTCCCTGACACTGTCAACAATTAAGAATATTTTACAGGACACTATCAGCATGTAAGTATATTCTACAGTAGATAGTCATCAACTAAGTATATTCAATAGGACATAGTCAACATGTGAGTATATTCTACGGAACACTATAAATATGTGAGTATATTCTATAGGCCATTATCAACATGTATGTATATTTTTTACGCCACTGTCACTGTGAGTATATGCTAAGGAAACTGTCAAAATATATGTATATTCTACACGACACTTTCAACATGCATGGCTTTCCTTCAGGACACTGTCAAAATTCAAGTATATTCTACTTGATACTGTAACTATATCCTACAGGACACTGTCAGTATGTTGATCAATCCTACAGAACACTATCGGTGTGTAAGTATATCCTACACGACACTGTTAGCATCCATGTATATTCTACAGGACACTGTTAATATCATGTATATCCTACGGGACACTGTTATCATGCATGTGTATCCTACAGGGCACTGTGATTATGTTGACATATCCTACAGAACACTGTCAGTGTGCAAGTATATCCTAGAGGACACTGTTAACATGCATGTATATTCTACACGGTACTGTTAACATGCATGTATATTCTACAGGACACTGTTAACATGCATGCATATTCTACAGGACACTGTTAACATGCATGTATATTCTGCAGGACACTGTTAACATGCATGCATATCCTACAGGATATTGTTAACATGCATGCATATCCTACAGGACACTGTTAACATGAATGTATATCCTACAGGACACTGTTAACATGCATGTATATCCTACAAGACACTGTTAACATGCATGTATATCCTACAGGACACTTTTAACATGCATGTATATCCTACAGGACACTGTCAGTATGTTGATATATCCTACAGAACACTGTTAACATGGATGTATATGCTACAGGACACTGTTAACATGCATGTATATCCTACAGAACACCGTTAACATGCATGTATATGCTACAAGACACTGTTAACATGCATGTATATCCTACAGGACTCTCAACACCATGTATATCCTACAGGACACTTTTAACATGCATGTATATCCTACAGGACGCTGTCAGTATGTTGATATATCCTACAGAACACTGTTAACATGGATGTATATGCTACAGGACACTGTTAACATGCATGTATATCCTACAGAACACCGTTAACATGCATGTATATGCTACAGGACACTGTTAACAGGCATGTATATCCTAGAGGACACTGTTAACATGCATGTATATCATACAGGACTCTCAACATGAATGTATATGCTACAGGACACTTTTAACATGCATGTATATCCTACAGGACACTGTCAATATGTTGATATATCCTAGAGGACACTGTTAACATACATGTATATCACAAAGGACACTGTCAACATCCAAGTATATGAAATTGTAAGTGTACTCTACATTAAACCTCCAACTTGTAAATAAACCTTCCACGTCACTGTCACTGACTAAATATATCAAGGTTGGATTATAGAAGAGTGTCTATTTTGAAACTACTAAGAATTGTGAAAATATTTGATATTGAAAAGGTAGCTTGAAAAGGAATACAAAACATACTACAGCATATACTGCGCTCATTCCCCCATGCCGAAAAGAGCATATCTGCTCACTCCTCGGGCGTATGTTGTTGTTAATCACGACTGAGCAAAATGGCAACTGTTATGTGGGGCTGACTAGCACAGCGAGAGCATTCTACAGGTAGAGACACCGCCGAGCTATAAGTGTTGATAGCTATACAACTTTGGGACTTTTTTTTCAAATGCATTCATTCGACACGTTGAATGGTTTCAATACAGAACAAACGGGGAGAAAAATCACCGAGGTTGAAGCATTCACAAATGGTTTCCAAGAAAACGAAAGCAAACGCCTTTTCCAGGAAGCCCAGAATAGATTATGACGCGATATGCACTAGATGATATGATACTGTAATACTACACCGCAGTATGCCGACTGGCACACACAACCATTACAGGAGTTAGGGTGTATCCCACAACACAGTGTCATCATATAAGCATACAACACAAGACACTGTCCACATCTAAAACTCAATTTAATATAAAAGTGAGAATTAGCATGCAAATCAAACTTTAAATTATTTAATTAATTAGTTACAAAAAAAATTAATATTCTGTTTATAAAACGTGTTTCAAAGATGTGTTGAAACAAACACACGCACGTTATCAATAATTAAAACTAATACTGGACGCCACTCTGGAGGTCAGGTGAAATTGGGTTTAACGTCGTGCTTGAGAATATTTCGCTCATATGACGACGTGCATGCATGTGTATGTGTATGTGTTGAAATTGAAAATCATGCTGTTAAATACGGGTATTTTACGGATGGTGCGTTTTGTTGCGATGTTTCAAAACATAAACACCATGTGCTCCTGTGTTTTAGCTGAATAATTGTCTTGCCTTTGCATGTGTTTGTGACCGCTATCACTGGTCGGTAGAGCAGGGTAGGCCCAACCGTACACGAACTCATGATGTCATCATTATAAGACAGGGACACATAACCTCATATTCATGCTCTGGCAGCAATCGTGCTATCTGATAATGGAGAGGTATTTTGTCTCTCATAATTATGTACAGATTTGTTTGCAATTTTGGATCACCTTTCAGTCTCTTTCGTTTCCCATTGCAAAATGTCACTGCACTATGAACTAAATGTTGACAAGATCATAATAAAAATGGCCACAATTGATAATGTAATCGGTTTTAGTTCTTTTAGTCTGCCATACTATAGTTGCTATCGGGCTTAGTCAGGGATTCGAACCAATCAAGAAGATCCTGTTTGTGTGATTGTTATTTTAGGTAGTAAGAATGACAAGTTATATCCCATTGATTTGTATTATAAACTGGGTTGGACAAACTAGTGGTCGATATAATGAGTAACCCTCCACGATGTTGATTAGTCACAAAGGCTGACCTAACGACCACAAGCATATACTAATGGAGCACATAAACCGCATGGCTAGCTATCGAAATAGATCTGAACTGAATATGGATCGCTTATCGAGAAATATAGAAGTAACTTTGAACAAATAGACAAAAATAATCTGAAAAATCCAAATATTTCACATCACTTTGAGTGGTGAGATATTTAGGCTTGGATTACTAACAGAACACCATCTTGAACATAATTTAGAAGTAGCCGATGGATAAAAGCCTACCTTTGTGTATTGTCTGAGTAAACAAAACTTTGTTACATCACGATAGTGTAAGTACGTTATTATCAACCACTTTCATATCGACAATCATTAATATTTTTTCCCGTCGACAATATTTCCGTCTTTCGAGCTTCTTATCGAGCCTCAATTAACTGCACAGAAAAGTAAACATTCATGTTTGATTGTGGTTCAAAATGAAACTATTAATCGATAGTGCTTCATTTCAGTTGTGTTTGAGACATTGTGTGTGCTGTGTCTGAAGTGTTTTCAGCATAGCAGTGTTTGTAATTCTTGGGCAACATTATATTTACGCTTTAATTATCATAAAACTATAACTTGATTTAGTCACGATATGGCTGAAATATTTCCGATATGACTTAAAATTTTAACTCACTCGCTTTAAACGTTTGTGTAGATGGAAAAGTGAAACATAGGACCAAATATGTCATTTAATACATAGCTGCATGCTTCAAACCAAGGTCCTACCTCAGCTGATAAATAACAGGAAACCAACTACCCGTACAGTACCTTCTCAACAACCCGTACAGTTGATTTGTTTACATGAGCAACTACCATCGATGCGTACAGTTATTGTTTTCGCTAATATCTTAGTTCGTATGTTTTAACAGAAGCTAAAATCTTGACACAATGGCTACATAACCTTCTTTACCCTAAAAATGCAAAATACGTGAAATGAATTCAATTGATTATGTTGTAAAACCGTCGAAAGTGGTTGTCACATACTAGAGTAAACACAAACCCCAAATTTAAAAGTTAATTTAATTTATTAACTAAATCTACCTTACTTACAATAGTTCATAGAGACTTGCATTCCACCTTCATTCTCACATCACCAAACACACCCACACTCTTTCCCCTACACACGCAAGCACGCAAATCATACCTCACCATTCACATACATTCACATCACAACTCACATCAACCCTCAAAATATCACAACACTACAAATGTCTGTGGTAAGGGACCGTTCATAATTTGTGGCAAGGGTGGGGAGGAGGTGGATGGTGGTGGTGGTGGTGGTTTGTGTGTGTGTGTGTGTGTATGTGTGTGTGTAGAAGCATGTACAATGTGAATGACCCCCTCCCCAAAACCCAACAAAACAAAAAAAGAAAAAAGGCAAAAGAAAACAACAACAAAAACCCAAACAAAAAACAAACAAACAAAATACCCCCTCCCACCAAAGAAAAGTAAAGAAAACAACAATAATAAAAAAACCCAACAAACAACAAAAGACACACAGCGAAAACACACAAACAAAGAAAACATATATGTCCCCCTTCCCTCCCCCAGGTACACGCGAACTGAGGACCCCGGCCTCCCAAAACAAAATGGTTGACCCTCCCTTAAATTTATCCCCATCACTCATACCGCACATTCTAGGATGACATCACCACCCATTGTAAACTATCATCAGTTGACGTCATCACGTTTGTTGATCATTGCTGTACACAAATAGCACTGACTACATAACACACGTGCCATGAAAGACACACTGACATCATCAAGCATAAAATACATTTTCTTGGAAAGCGAAAGTAGAATGGTTCGGGGAAACCAGTTGCAATCAGTTGTGTAACAGATACAAAGCTGGGTCGTCTCGACGCAGAGGTCTGTCACCAAAGAAGCGCCTGTGCCATCGCATTACTTGTACAAGCGTGAGTTGTAGTTTTTCATTAATTTATCGTTACATTTAAGACGACCATTGTTGACTGAATATTGAGTTATCAGTTCCTGCCAAGCACTTCATGTTCACCAGCGTTTGATTACCTCACGATCACGAAAATTAAACTTTGAGCATTATCAGTACAAAGTGTAGTTGACAGGCAACAAAATTGCCGATACTGGCAAACATTTGATCGTCGGAGGGTGGGGGTGAGGGGTGTCGGGGTTAGTGTGGGGAGGAAAGAGAGTTTCAATGATCATTTATAAAAGGGTGGGGGGAGCACCCTGAAAGCCAAAAATGATGCGTATCACTGTCAAAGGGCGTAGATCTCATACACTATAAAGTGGAGTGGTCTTTTGAGTAGTTTGTCATCAATAAAGAAATGTTTCCTTTCGTTCTCATTTTAATTATATATTCTCTTTTACTCATTGGATGTTGTATGTAGATGAAATGTAACGATGGACAAAAATTTAAAACAACATTACATTCTCCTTACGTAACTAACATGGACGAACTCTTTTCATTTTGCCTAGCCCCAACCCCGGCAGCGACAAAGCAGTATCAGTTGTTCCTTTATTCAGTGAGTGAATGGTATGAATAGTTCTCAAACCCGATAAGAAGCGGTTATAAAATCCTAAAAATTAGTTACTTGAAATTGGGTGCATTGGGTTTTCCTTTTATAAACTGAGTGTATTGTGTCTTTCGTTTATAAATTGAGTGTATTGGGTCTTTTTTATAAATTTGGATGCATTGGGTCTTTCTTTCTTTTTTAAATTGAGTGTATTGGGTCTTTCTTTCTTTTTAAATTGAGTGTATTGGGTCTTTCTTTTTTTATAAATTGAGTGTAGTTTAAATTGTATATCGGGTCTTTCTTTTTTATAAATTGAGTGTATTGGGTGTCTCTTTATAAATTGAGTGTATTGGGTCTTTCTTATATAAACTTAGTGTATAGGGTCTTATTTATGAATTGAGTGTATTAGATCTTAGTCTTTCTTTTATAAACTGAGTGTGATTTAGGCAGTGAAATATGATATGCAGATTATCCCTGGGAATGTATAAATTCCAGTTAATATACTTTTATTCAGTTGACAAACTAAAGATGAATTTTATGCATAATATATACTGAACCACAAAAGAAATGTCGCACCGATAGCTGTTTCTTAAAGCACACGCTTTAATTAACTCTAATTAACTCTCAGAACGGAGAACTGAGTTTAAACTTGACAATTATGGTTTTCGGGAATCACATTTGGCGTTTACACAAACAAAATCACCAAAAGTGGTGTAGGCTATTGTAGGGTTTGGATGCTATGTTGTCTTAGGAAGTACAATGTTGCTCTGGCAGTGTGGGCACGACCGTTGTCTTGCTGGAAGATATGATTTCTGTAACGTCAAAAATGTGGTACAACGTGGAGTCTTTTGACTTAATCAATATAGCGAGCAGCTGTCGCGTCATTTCCTCATCCTAGACCAAGATTCTGGAACATGGTGCAACTAGACCGTCTGCACCCGACACTATGATGCTTGGACCACCCCACGAGTCTCTTTCACGAATACACTCATTGGGAAACAGTTCACCATGCCCGGTACACAATTTAGAGCCATGTGCTGCCTCAGTAGCGAGTATGTCCTCCTTGAACATTGACACAAGCAACAATACGTCAGCGCATGGATGACGTCAAGCGTCTAATGACGTTGCGTGGAATCTGTTGCCAGGCGTCATTCAGGCACTGTTCCAGCTCTCGCACGTTGACTGAGGGTACTGGTCTGTTCCTAATCTGCCTGTCGAGGTGGTCCCACAAATGCTCGATAGGGTTCATGTCTGGTGAACACGCTGGTCATGGTAAGACGTGGACGTTCATGTTGTTCTTGTCAGTCTGGCGGTATGAGGTCTTGTATTATCATGTTGGAAGACAATGCCACGTGGCTGTTGGTGAATGAATGGAAGGACTACCGGTCGCCGAATGTCATGCCTGTAACTTTGTGTGGTACGGTTGCCACGAATGATGACTAGCCTTGTTTTCAGTTCACCACATATTCCCTACACCCCACACCATAACACCACCTCCACCATACGCCGGAACTTCCTGGATACAGTTAGCAGCTAAACGTTCTCTAATACGTCCGTAGACACGTTGACGGCCATCAGCTGTGAATACGCAGAACCTGATCTCATCCGAAAAGAGGATACGTGACCAGTTTCGGACTTGCCAACGTCGAACTTGCTTTGCCCACGTGGAGCTACGTGTTGTTGTGTGAGTACCACCCTACCGTATGGACGTCGTGCTCGAAAACCATGTTCACGCAGTCGTCGTGATACTGTCTGTCGACTGATACGATGTCCGAGTGCCGTTGCTGCCGTTGCTGTTGCTGGGATGAAGCGGTTCCTGAGGTGCGGTCCTCCAGGGGCGTGGTCACCCTCGGTCTCCCACTCTCACTCCCTGTCTACTGTCTGCCCTGTCTGGCGGGGACGCTGAAACAACCCAGTAATGCATGCCCGGGTGCAGCCAAAGGTTCTCTCGATGAGGGCATGTGACGCTCCTTGTTGGGCCATTCCTACGGCTCTCTCTCTCTTTACTGCAGTGAGGCATGGCATTTTTCTTGTGTGCTTTTTTATTCTTCGACAATGCCTTGTGTCATCAGTTGCTTTTATACAATTTTGTGCACGTGCATATTGTGGAGCACGAGCATGTTACTTCTTCAGAAAATGAGCATTTGAGCGAGACAGTTCGCGAGACGAGAAATTTGTCATTACACATAAGTAGTCATTACCTTGTCACATATTTCTGTAAATATTCCTGGATATGGGTTCAAAATTAAGATTTTAATTTGGTATACTTTCTTTTGGACGGTAGTATATATGTAAATGTTACAGTATACTAAGAGAAACTTACTTCAGTAGATGCTTATAGACGAATATCAGTATCAGTCTGTACACCACTTTGTACATGTAATGTCATCAACATATTACGATATATTGTATAACATTTGCTATGACCTAAATAAAGTTCAAGAGTTAAGGAAAACAAAAGATGAATTATATACCATTCGATATTAGAAATTTCATTACCTAAAGATTCGGGGGACTATGCACATGCTATATGCATATTATAGTGAATGTATTTTGGGCCTATGGTATTCATACTTGTAACGAATGTATCTTGGGCCTTATTACTGAAATAAATTATCTCTCTCACTCCCTATTGAGATGACATATCAGTAGAAATTCAATACAACGGTATTGTATTCTCTTGGTGCCGACAGTGTCACAGATTTCAGAGGGTGTCGACAAGATAAAACCTCTTCGTTTCTCGGTCTTACCTTGCCGATACCGTCTTGTCTTAGTCTCTCTTTCTCGACTATTGCCTGGGAGTGGTGCTTTATCTTTCCATTAAAGTGTGGTTGCGATCCACAAAGCGTTCGTAGCATTACGACATTTGTAAGGCTGTGATAAACTAATAGAGTTAAGAAAGGTCGTAACGTTACGAATGCCTTGAGTTTGAGTGAGTTTAGTTTTACGCCGCACTCAGCAATATTCCAGCTATATGACGGCGGTCTGTAAATATTCGAGTCTGGACCAGACAATCCGGTGATCTGCTGCATGAGCATCGATCTACGCAAGTGGGAACCGATGACATTTGTCAACCAAGTCAGCCGGCCTGACCACCCGATTCTGTCAGTCGTCTTTTACGACAAGCATGGGTCACTGAAGACCAATTCTAACCCGGATCATCACGGGTACGAATGCTTTGAGGACGGGACCCAGTACTTTATGTTCCAATTTCTGTTTAAAACTCTACGATTGAATTAGGAACCCAAATTGGTTGTTCGATTTCGTCTTATATCACGAGCCTGTGTTTATGAATAACAATTAAACAGTAATGCCAGTAGGTGCTCGAGAAAACATTTACTCTTACGTCATCCCCTTTGTCAGGTACTTGTGGAAAGGTTTTTGTCAGTCTGAATCGAAGCGTTTTCACTTGTCATCTTTATTTCTAGTTTAGACGGGTAACTAACTTTATATCAAATTCAGTATGCATGGGAGGTAACTGCGTAGTGTTGTAGAACATGGTGATAGAAGTAAAAAAGGGAGTGAATTAAAATCTATATTGTTGATATCATTTTATACATAATGGGTTGATGATGGTTTGACGAGCCAAGAGTTTGCCTCCATGTGGATGACTCTAAACAACGTTTTCTTATATTTTATTGTAGATGTTCGAGAGTGAATATTCCAGAATGACGTCACATCCGCCTGGTCCGGAGCCTCTTCTGATTGGAATGAAGCGTGGACAGACTATTCCACAGTTCCTCGCAGAATCGGGTCCATTTGATATCAATAAGTGTCATGAGATGATTGAGCGAGTGATTCGGTTTCTGAAACAAAACGTACCTATCAGCGTGGCAAAGGTCGTCAAGGTCGGTGCTTTCCGAATTAGTTCACAAGTGCACTAACATACTACTAGTATATCGCAAACATACACTAAACGCCAAAAGAAACGTTACCCTCCTTCCTTAATGACGGAGGTACCTATCTTCAGCTGGCGTTGTGATGCGTGGACGTCCACTTCTTGGTCTGTCTAAGGTGACCCCAGTCTCTCTGTAGCGCTGAATAAGTCTTATAACCATGATACGGTGGCATCCGAGAGCGTTGGCAACAGCATTGTATGTCGACCCCATCTGCACCATCCCAATGGCGCTTTCTCTCTCTTCAGCTGTTAATCGTGGCATATTTCTCGTACTCGTATGGCATCCTCATATCATGAATGCTTGTTTTTCTTTATACCCTATAGAATCATTCTTCACATGAAATGGATGCAAATACTGCTTGAATGTTGCTACGTTTTGGCGATTGATATTGCTATGTATTAACAGAAAATGGAAAAATGTTACTTTGCAGGCAAAAGTGTACACCAGATATTTTAGATGTTCCTAAACTTTTTTTCACAAGGACACGATTTACTGATTTTCACTAATGTTAATCAGAAGAAAATGTTTTAAAAGACTGAAATCATAGGAATGGTTCTTTTTCAATTTTGCACACTCTACAACAGTTGTTTCTTGTTTGAATACTTGAAAAATGTTGACTTTAAATGTTTTATCTTTGTCTCAAAGCAGAATTTTATTTCAACCTTTCTTTTGGACATCTAAAAACAGTGTTATTGGTATATTTCGGCATGGTCGAAAATAGGACAAATTTAAGTGTTCTGAAAAAGATGCATTTCAACTAAATCTGAATGCATTTGAGAATTGTTTTACGTGATGTGCATAAAGCTGTGTTGTTAAGCTTTCTAGTAAACTAATACATTCTAACATATCTATGATAGTTTTTTAAGTAATTCATAAAGTTTGGAGGGTAACGTTTCTTTGGCGTTGAGTGTACTGCCAAGCAAAAGTTTAGACTCACTAGTAGAAATGTAGCCACTTACTTCAGGCAACTGTTCCAAACTAGATTTTGCAAAATGTTCCACACTGTTTAAAGGTACTATTTACACATGAACTGATGTATTGCAAAACACATTTGTAACGTTGAAAAGATAATTGTCATGAGTTCAATAAACTGACTGACTGAGTTTGGTTTTACGCCGCCTTTAGCAATATTCCAGCAACATCACGGCGAGGGACACCAGAAATGGGCTTCACACATTGTGCCCATGTGGGGATTCGAACCCGGGTCTTCGGCGTGACGAGCCAACGCTTTAACCATTAGGCTACCCACCGCCCCAGTTCAATAAATGATGAAACTCAGTGAAAATTAGCGAATTCTTAAAGGGCCACTGATCCAGAGCAATTTCCGTGGACTGGTTGTTGCTTTTGTTATTATTATTCTCCAGTGAGTACCCGGATGATATCCCAGAATTCATGACTGGTTTGTTACCTCTGCTGCGTGACCCTCATGCGCAATTGATAGTATTAGTATACAGTGATCAACAAAGATGAAATATTTTTACTCGATAATCTTATGTTGATTTTGTTTTAAAATTATGTAGACTTTGATGAATAATTTGGTTTCTTATAAAAAAGTATTCACTTTGATAAAAATGCTGATTTTGATGTAATGTTGTTAACGTAAATGGATGGGTGTAGAATTTGATTTAGGAAATAGTTTGACCTTGAATTTAGTGAGGAGCCTGATATAATACCATTGTTTTGAAAGTAAGGCTAACTAAGTACATTGGGAGCGTTTGGAAGAGAAGTGAGCTTGGGTTCACTACTAGTCAATCTGAATGTTGTATTAAATGGCATTATTTTAATAACAAATGAAAACATTTTAAGTTTAACCATCTGCCAGTGGTAAAAAATGTTAGGACTGAAATAACGAAGTGAATGTAGGTCTTTATATTTTGTCTTATAATCCTAATTAGTTTATTATCATATTTGTATTCATTTTGAAACTTAATAACATGCATACAATCTGCTTATACTTAGTGAATTTATAACATGACTGTAATATCTAGACATCTTGCCAGCGTGTATCATATTTCACACACACACGCCCTGAGTGCGACCTAGTGTATGCTGTCGGTCTCATTACACTTCACGGCTAAAAAGAAAAGATTCTGTTGAATGCCATAACGAATAACACCACACAAAATGACTGTATTACCCAAATTTACTAACGTCAGGAAATACTCGTTTCATCCGGCCGCCATATGAACAACGTTTGAAATCTACGTATCATCTGGCCGTCAGATTTACACACGTTTAAAGGGGGGTTAAAATGAACGAACATTCAACTCTGCATTTACATGTATTATACCCATGCCTGAGCACCACTAATAACATGCGTGTCTTTCTTGACATACACATGGTGTCTGTTTAAAAGGTTCAAATATCGGGTCTATGGGCCAGAGCGATATGTATGTTAGGGAGTGTGTATGTGTGCGAGTGAGAGGGTGTGGCATGGGATAGGCCTAGGGTTGGGTGGTGGCGGTGGGTCGGTGTTGGGGTACTGATAAGTCTTTCTGACCAGTAGGTAATATCGTTTATATTTTTTGTAATGGAAATTACATAAGAGTTTAAGTAACTGACCTTAGGTTCACTTCTTATATACAAGGAGGCACTGCTAATTACAATAAAACACAAACAGATGTGTTCACACAGACATGAACCGGTAGGTCCCTAATGTTAGTGCTCACTTGTATGAGTTATCATAAGTGAACAAATTTCATTATCTATACTTTCATAAAAGATGATTACATTGTATTAATGATTCCCGGTGTAAATTACTGTTGTAAATGTGTGAACATGCACATACTTGGTATGACCTCTTTTTGATTCGGAATACAGGTATTATCCCATACGGACGTTTTCTCAAATTTCAGTTACCCGACGGAATATACTGTAGACATATTTTGTTTCCATCTCTTGGGTAGACTATAGAAAATTGTAGTGATTGCAATTAGCTCATAACTTTCATAATAGACCTATTTTGTTCCATCTCTTGGGTAGACTATAGAAAATTGTAGTGATTGCAATTAGCTCATAACTAAGCAGTTTCGATAATTATTGAAAGCTTACTACCTGACAGCATTATGTTGCTCATGCGTTTTCTTTTTTGATTTTGCTTTTTGCTGTCTAATTTGTTATACATTATATAATTATGTTAATCATTTTGGTATCTTAATATCATGGAATATAATGTGTACTTATTATTAAATCTATCAAAGTACCGAAACGTATTATCTGTATGCTTTACTGTTATTGGGTGAAACTGTTAAAAGTACCTGCGAACAAAATTTCCAGAAAATAGAACCTGAAAATTAATAGATAAATGGAAAACTACATTGGATAAAGATCGGAAACAATCATTATTTATATTCCTCTTTTTAAATTATCAGTGTGCAGATCACGTCACTAACTTAAAAACTGAAGGATATATAGTGACAAACCTGGGTTCAATCTTGAATGTATAATAAATGTACCAATGTATATTCTTTAATAGTATCAAGGAATGATGGGGGTACGCTCGTGGTTAAAGCGTTCGCCTGTCAGGTCAAAAACCGGTGTTTGATTCCCGACATAGGCACATTAAGACTGAAAATATGTTATTTTGATGAAAGGCAAAGATCTTAATTTCAACTGAAAAAAGAGACGAAGTAATTTGGAAGATTCACAGACTAACAACATCTATATTGGGGCTACAGGTGCAGGAAGCATCTTCAATTATAAAATCACATTCCACAAACATCAGATAAAGGTTTAAATGACAAGCATATCTATTGGTATCTTGCCAAACTCTGTCCTCTCTCAGTGCAGTATAACCAGAGTGCTGTGGTCACTAGCTCAGGTGGCCAAATTCAGCCATCCCCTTACTTTAGAGTATTTTGTTACAGACATATATATGGAAAATTAACTTTTACGGGTATGGAAAGCGTGGAGGGAAACACGTGCAAAGTATTAGTCAGCTGAGATTATCCTTCAAAAGCGTCATATGTACAAAAATCACTTATCATTATGTGTAACCAAAGCATTACAAAAAGGCCATATTTCTAGACAGCATAACAACACCTTTGGCCGGAGTTCCAAATAATTTGACACCGAAAGCCTGTCAGTTAAACTCAAAGGAATAACCAATGTGTTTTAAAATGATGCCTTAATCATAGTCACAATGAAGTGTAGGTTGCCATGCTTAGTCTATGTATTTTCCAATATGATGGAAATACTAATATTTATCAAATAAAATTCTAAAGGAGCATTTTTCCAAGCAGTGACTTAACGCCATACATAGCTAGACTTGCTTAGATGATAGACTTTATATAAGGCATCATCGATATTTCACAAACATGGTACAGGACCCTTAGCCTCATTAGCTTATTGCCTCACCACTTGCGAATTAAGCGTTGGCAGATGTAAATGTTACTGGAGATGTTGGTCCCGCCAGCTGTGGGTGTTTGGTATGGCACTCCATAACCCGAACCCTGCAGTGAGTTTTTCTAGAGACGGAAGGGGAAAAATATCTTTCTGTGACTGTGATACAGACTGGGAAAAGATATGGAAAACCAAAGATTTGGACAACAAACCATTGTTTGGGTCTTTTAATTGTAAATATGATTCAAATAGCTTAACCTAGATATCGATATCCTCCGAATGTACATTTGGTGGAAAATATTCATTTAACCCGAGACAAGGGCGAATATTTATATATAATTTAAGAAATTTAACAGCACTAGTATCCATTTTGTCTTTTGTCTTCAACCCGTCAGAACTAGATCAACAACTAGTCTCTGATATGAACATATTTCACAGAATAAAAGTTCATAATAAAAAAATATATAATATAATGAAAAGGTGCCCTGGGACTTTCTCCTGAAGCTGTGGAAATCTAGACTTGCCACAATTTGTAGACTTGCGTGAGCTTGGATATATTTGCTTCAGGGTCTGTATGACAGACGACGCCCCAACATACGCTCAGTCAC